AACTAACTCAGATGTTCAAAGTTTATAGACCCACCGTAAAGCCTACAAATATGAAGTTCAACCCTCAGTTCGATCATAGATAGTCGGTTTAAAAAAATTGCCCACATAAATAAGACAACCGTCCAATGCTTCCTAGTGTTCAATAGTTGTCTGATCACGATTATTCTGTGATATAAATTGTAGTATAAAAATATCTATACAACAACCATGCTAAATCTTTTTGCAAAAACAATTAACATTTCGATGTTTTTGCACTATGATCCAATGGAAAATAAGCCACCTATTGAATAAACAATTTCTGATGTGATCCGATAAGACTATCGATTGATTAAATAAACCACTCGTTGAAACAGTTCTTAGAAAAAAATTACCATTATTATTCACAAATCATGTGAGATTATATCTAATAGAAAAATTTCTATACTAAACAAAATCACTGGGACAGTTTATATCCACTTAGATATGTTATAGATATATATAGCCAGCAAATACTGTTTATTCCGTCAAATTCATTTACTCAGGTTTCAAAACAAAAAATAAGGCTCATACTGCTACTCGGTATTACATCGGAAGTGTTGAAAACCCAGAACAATGGTTACTTATTTACTCTGAACTGTCCAGTAGCGTAAAAAAGTACATCTCATCAAATAATAAATTATGAACATTTAAAAAATACAATACACTGCTGAGGAGTCTCAAAATAGAACGAAACAGCTTCCAGGTTTTTCATGGTGGCCTGGATTCGATTGACTCGTGAATTAACTATTGAAACAAGATATTGTTTAAACATTGAATAAGAATTCAATTCTTCATATTTCGCAATACAAGTAATGCAATCTACATTCTGTCTCACTACTGATTAACTGAGTTATCACTCAGTTGATAAAACATATCATGAATCGTCAGTAGAATATTGCGAAATCAATGAGAATACAATTGATGGATATGTAATAGAATGCTTTTTATACACATTCCGGTAACGTATAATAGCAAAGATAATATCTTACAAAAAGTGTAAACGAGTAAGCAACTGCACACACCAAATTCGACTGTCTACTCATCGTTTGTCTTAAAGAAACGAGAACAAATCAAATGGTTGATAATGTTGAAAGTTGATTGAGTCAACTTTGTGCAACAGACACACATAGATGAACGTGTGAAGGATAATCATTCAATGAATTAATCATCACAAATACAAATATTCGTGTTCTCATAATCAAAACATTATGCTGATGACATTTCAATGATATTTGCTTTATGTGTTTCGTATTGAGATTGGTCTAGAGTTGAGTGGTTTTACTGACTAAATCATCATGTTCTCAATAATGTATGTTGTATGACTTTATTTGATAAAGTACTTTGTTAACCGGGTAATTTAGAGCATTCATTATAATAAGATTTTATTAATCATTTAATTAATTAATCGAATCAATATAATTGTGTATTTTGGTCTTACTACATACTTTAAATCATTCACTGTAGTTTCGCCTTAAAAATATGTTTTATACCAATAAATTTATTCATTTCATAAAGATATGGATCCCATGATAGCAAAGTTGACAAAAATTCTTACAGTATTCATCATTGTCTTTCTTCATTCTCATATCAGCTATTCAAATGCCTAACTTTTAATTGTAATACAAATACTGAATATGAATCTAATGAGCCTTAATCGTGTTATATTTCATTTCCGTCCAAAATAGTATCAAGCTTTTTACAAGATTTAAAAAAATTCTTTTATTTCGTTGAACAAAAATCGCTTTTATCAGAAGGGGTTTGTGGAGATTTTAGAAATTTTACAGATTTGAATCATGAATCAATTGAAGCTAGACCACCATGGAAAACTTGCAAGCACTGGACGGTCGTTTCGTCCTAGTATGGGACTCCTCAGCAGTGCGCATCCACGATCCTGCACTGCTAAGGAGTCCCATACTAGGACGAAAAATTCGTTTTTACCATAATAAATTCGCAATAAAAAATTGATCCGAAAATTCAATATAATTTGAATCGAACTAAATATTAGACTAAGCTTTACATATAAAACAGTAAAAATCATGACACCATCACCATCACTACGATAATGTAAATAATTATGCTCTTAACAAGTGACTCTATTTTATATTAATATAGAAACAAATTGATTGATTAGTGAAAAAATATAAATATTTAGCAAAAGAGAAAAAAGTGTTTCTTATCATATTCTAGTGTCCATTATATCTGTTTAACAATAATGTGACCTTACTAATCAATGTTCGTGTGTATTTTTCGATTGCATCAAAGTACTCAAATTGTATATGAATATGAGAAAACTTCAACATTGAATATATATTGATCAACGAATTAAATATATTTCGTCATATTAAACAAAAGAACTTATTTTCTATACCATTATTATTTAATTTGCCAATAATACAATTTTATGGGAAATACAAACAAATTAGTTTACTAAGGTGACTGTATGGAAAAAAATGTATAATGGTAAATGTTTTTATGTTCGAAATTCAGATCTCTTCAAGAAATTACTAAAGTGTTGGATGGTTAATTGTTTTGATTTAAAACTTTCTCAAATGATGAGTGTACAAGGAATAATCGACACAAAATCCTATGAATTATGTACATTGAAGTTATTAAATTGAAAGTTAATAGTGTATCTAGTTAGCTTCAATGAATGTAGAATATTTGTTATCCTATTCCGTCAATGAATAAAACCCATAGATCAAAGCTTTCCTGATAGACTTCTGTTTACAAATTAGTCAGTGTTAATCACATGGTTATTAGTGATGCTTTAACTTCATACTGATCAAAACTTACAAACTGATTCATTTATAAGCTAAGATGGATAGTGGCTAGCAGTGGAATCCAGGATGCGCGTTTCATCCTATTTGGGACTCGTCAGCTGGATGTACCTGCATCTCAGAGTTGATGTCCACTCTGAGACTCGAATCCAATACCGTTCTCTGCAAACGTCAATTTAATTTACATTTTATCCAATAAGCAACTTGTCATAATTGAATATACCAAATGGTTAATTATATAATTGTAAGCTAAATATTAAATTCTATAAAAATTCATGGTTTAAATGGAAATTTAACTGACTTTTTTTTATCGAATGCCAAACGCCGTCTTTAAACAGATTTTTTTGAAAATATGATTCATCTTTAACTAATAATTAATTCCCTTTCCATGATACTTTCGTATTAATAATTATTTATTCATAAAATGATGACTGACCGATTGATTTTAAACTTTACCCAACCATCATCATTCTTACTATCGACCGATAACAGTGATAATAAGTGAGAAAACATTGATTTCTCTGACTTAAATTATAGTAGTTAAAGTTCTATTTAGTTATGATGAATTTATCGATTTCCGCACGAACCATAAAATGTTTCCATTATTATAACACAAATAAAAAGTATCAAATGAATTAAAGAGGTCATACTGAATGTAAATAAGTGAAGTAGAATGTGAATTTAGTAAAGAAGAGTGAGAATGTGACTATCAATGGAATTCAGGAAATGAGTTTAGTTAAATGTACCTTCGTCCCAGTACTTATATTCACTCCGGGTTTCTAACCCAGTACCGATGTTTTCAAACACCACTAAGTTATCTAACCAGCTAATGAGTCCAGGTAGCTTTCATTTGTGTAAGAAGTATGAGTTGTAACTCAATTTGAAATTGATTGTATTATTCCGTTGGCTCTATTGAATCAATCTGTACAGGATGAACATATGACAACCAAGACTGATTGAATTTCAGTCGAAATTATCAATAATGTGATAATCTTATCAATTTCAAATTAAATTAAAAATCAAACCATCATAACTCATCAGAATAATGTTTGGAAACTTACTTGAAAAATCACTCTATTAAATAATATGAATATTAACTAATTGTTTAGACAAGAAAAAATAATACTTAATAAATAATAGTAGTATAACAGAACTGTGAATTTATTAACTCCGCAACTAATAATACAACTTATATTCTATTTGAATAAGAGGTTTATAGAGATCATTTACTTGCTACAGATAGCTTATATCATAGCTAAGTTCAGTGACTGATACAATTTTAGATGGATCATTCCTGAAACATCACCTACTAATATGAAACATCTCTTTATTGTCCTCTGACTTTTAGTTGAAATCAAAAGAACATTTTTTTAACAAGGCTTCAGTCGTATATCATTTATTTAACAAAATTTAATTAAAAGTGTATAAAATATGATGCTTTAAAACAAAATAAATCACATGACTGGTATTACTATTATAGCACTGTTACAATCAACCTTACAGTTTATATCAATAAAATTGAACAATGACATATTCTAAACATTAACTACTAAAAGTAAATTTCGTTGCAAACTAAAACTGGTTGTTGAATGTTTAAAGCCAAATGACTTAAATATTTATCGTTTAATGTATAATAAGTTAAGAAGATTCATGTCTATCTAGTAAAATATTACCCCCAAAAAATGGGTTTAAATACCAATCGACACTTCGACAAATTTAAATTACAAAAACAGTAATATCTAACTTGATAAGTTTTCTTTTTAATACAAATACGTTGATATATAAGTAGAAAATTGTATTACAAAAACTAGACATTGAAATATCATAGTTAAATTTATTATCATTTTTTTATAAAACTGGTATTTGATACTCTTCACAAAATCTCCATAGTAATTATAATCATACGCTCATTAGTGAATAACTATAAGACGTAAGTTTTTTTTCTGATTTTCAGTAAAACACCTTGACTATTAGAGATCAGCCATATCGATTGAAATGCAATATCAAGAGTTAATAGTTTGGCAACATTACTTACTTTTTTCAAGTTAGATATGTCACTCAGATTTCAAATCAGCGATCTAAATATTAAGCACACTTTATTAGACGTCCAGGTGAAGTTCTAAACATCTGGTGTAGTCGTGCATGTGCATTTTATAATAGAACAAAATACCTGTCAAGCATTACTTTGCTTTCATTGGTTTGCTAGCAAAATTCAATCCATGATATAAACTACTGAAAATTGACTTATTTCTATCATGAGTAAATAGTTGCCACTTAGAAAGTAATAGATTCATTTCAACATTCTTAACAATCTATGGATGATATACCGACAATAAAAATTTAACTTTCATAGAAGAAAAAAAGCATGATTATTACTAACGCTAACTTCCTTATTATTAATAATCAATGAAAAAGGATATCCCCATTCAATTATGCTTCGTGCTGCTTTACGTATTAGATTATTTTTTGAAAAAACAAAAAGTGCACGATTTGTTGAATTTTGTGATTCTGGCAAATCAATATTTAATGTATCTTTAGCTAATTGATTAATTGTTTCATATTTAGGATCACGATTTCTACTTTGATCAATATCTGATTGTTTATTTTGTATATTTATAGAATGATTATTAATATTATCTTGATTAGTTATTGAATCACTGGTTGATATCATGATCACGAGTATAATTTTTTAATAAATAATTGATTGAATGTAGTTCATTTGTTAGAGATTAAATTCATAGAACTATCAGTTAATTTGATGTTTCTGGAAGAAAACAACATCCTTCTTTCAAGTTTTACTATTGAATATTGTAGTATCATCATGAAAATACAAAATGCTTAAACATGGATGCTTGTTTTTAAAAACAATAATATTAATTTTTCAAATAAAATGTATATTCCAAGAGTTAAAACATCCTATTATTACTTGATAACAGATATAATGGTGTAATCTTTCAAGAACTTTTTTATTTCCATTTGTTTGACTTAAAACCTTGTTGTTTTTTTCCTTCAAGAAAAAAAATTATAAAGTTTTTGATCCTAAATTTGAGTACTGTTTTAGTGAGATCAAGGCTCTGCAACAGGCATTATAAACATATATATATATATATATATATAAGTTTGCATATGTGATAGGTTGTTAAATAGGATGGTAGGTAGATAGATAAATAGACAGGTACAAACAACTATATACAGAAGGATTAAAAATTTGCAGTATGCTCACATGTGTGAATTATGCTTTAAGTCTGTCCCACTGAAAGTGTATCTATCCCACTATTTTATATACATATCATCTTACTTGACTAATAACCAAGTATCTTTATTTTTGTATATATATATATATATATATATATATATATATATATAAATTTGGTAAAAGTATAAGCAGTTGATAAGGGAGGATTGAATAAATAAGTAAGTATCTATGTAATTTATTGATAAATAGTAGTAAACATTGAATTCATTTAGTCAAATTATCCAATATAATTGAAAATAATTTTGTCATACTATACAAATTAATTTAAGTTTGTAATTAATAACTAATTTTAGTAACATTCATGAATGATTCAAAATTGAACTTAACTCCCTAAGGTATTTTATTTCACGGATCTATGATATTTTTTATAGGTAAACAGAAATGTATAATCAATTTGTGGTTAAGTAGTTAACTAGAGATTCATAATTGAATAATTATTAATTAAATAGTTTCTGCTTCACAAAATAAAATGATATGAGATTGATTGATTGTTTGATTTTACAATACATTCTTACTTTGTCACAGAAATGATACATTTGGGATGACTGAAAACAAGTGAATGTGTGTTTTCCTGATATTTTATAAAAACTTCTACAAATAATCGTGAAGGGAATATCAAATCTAGGATACAGGTACATCCAATTGACAAGTCCCATATAGGACAAGATACATGTACTGGATTTCACTGTTAACCATCATTCATCTTTGCTTATAAAGCTTGTGATTTAAGGTAATATTGAAGTAATCTGCAAAGGATGCATATATACCAATAAGAAAGTGATAAACTGAAGTCCTAATTATCAATGGGAAGATTCAAACAAACAATACAAAATGAGTAATAACTAATTTTTGTAAATTACTACACGTTTTAAAGACAATTCAGCAAAGAAAATGTTTATGACAACATCATTAATTCGAACTGTACATTTGTGTCTATAGTGAATTAGTATATAAAGTAGTTTATTTACAGATACAAAGAAGAGTACATAATTTCAAATAACAAAAGAGCGTTGCGTAATGATCAACAATTTAAAGAAAGAGAATAAGAAGAGACCAAATACATGAAAGATAGTTGTCCAATTGACTAGTATGGGAAATGTAAACTGTAAACTAAAAGCATGAAGGTAAGTATAATAAATAATAATAATAAATTAAAAACACTAAAATGAGAGTTTGTACATGTCACTTAGAATGCAGAGTTCAAGTTTAAAATGATGAATCGATGATACCTATACAATCCATAAGTCATTGTTTGACTACGCAAATGATTTTAAAGAATATATCTAATCAGATATGTAATCAGACTTGAATAGATATTTCGTTATTGAATTCTAGATTATTTTACATTCTTCTTTCGAAATACATGCAATATTGTTCTCGGAAGTGCAGTTAGAAAGTGTCTTCTTTATGCGGCCGTTGTAGTCTGTTCCGCAAGACCATGCAAACTTATTGATACACATTTGAATTTCGGTTAGTGCAGAGAGAATCAAATAACCGCTAAACACCAAAAACACTAGAACTGCGTTACCGCAATTCCTATTAACAGAGAATATATATGTGGTATCGGTTTCATGCATACTAGAATTAATGTTGGATGAGTGTGAGTAAAAATATCACAATACAGTTGTACAAGTATTTTTAGATTGGCATTTTCGATAGACTATGCTATTTGGTTGTATAATGTTTGTCTTTATTAAACAATGGTAACATTCGGTGTTACATGAAATGCTTCTATTGTGGTGCGTGCTACTTATATTGATATAAGTAGTAGACGACGCGAGTCAGGAATGTAATGTCTGGCGGCATAAGATGGGGAAGATCAAGAAAGGAAGAGCGGAAAAAGAAAGCAAATAGTATGGAAATGCAAGAACAATGAAATTCGAGACAATTATTGAACATTTTGCAAATTCAGTATTATAGTATGGTTTTTCTATTTTACCGAGTAACTCTGTAATTTGTGCTAAATATGATTCGGTTGTCCTCACCTGTGTTCTCCTTCACTACACTATTACTGGTCTTTTAGTACGATATAAAACGCTCTTTTTCATTGTTAACACATTCATAACAACCACTTAGCGATTACTGAATTTATAATATGATTAATAAGGGTCTTTGCGCAGCTTGATCGTTATTTATTATAACCTAAGAGTGCATAGAGTGCTCTTCAATATAGAGCGTGAGACAACCGACATACACTTAGCTTCATAAATAATCATGTGCGGTGAAAACCAAGTTGCTACAATTGATGGGTTTATTATATTTAATATTTAATTGCATACTAATGGTCCTGACTTTGAGTTACTCTTAAATGAGCGTTGAGAACTTAGTGCGCCCAATGAGACATGGATATACTAAATGGAAAACCTACTCTGAAAAAGATGAGCTTGCGTAATTCTGCTCAATATGATGTAATGTTCCTTCGTGAGAGATCTCTCGTCATCGGCCACTAAATTACAAGTCTTCTACAGTTATTCATTATACAATGGCTTATAAAGAAACTATGAATATTTCACAACTAACCTTGAACTTCGAATTTCGAAAATTATTGGCTTGAAATTCCTGTCTAGACTTACTAAATAATGTTATTTTCCCTAATATTTTTGTCATATTTCTCAGCATTAATTGTTCTAGAATCAGGACTAAGTTTGAATGTGCCGAACAACATTCTCGTACGACATTATACAGGCAATAAAACTGACTATATGACCTTGATTTCAATTCTGTTTGAGATTGTGAGTGCACGGAAGTCTTGAACTAAAGTCAAACAATTATCAATGGATTCCTAGTTTTTAGTAGCTTAGGCAGCTGATTTGAGCCTGTAATGTAAGCGGATTTTCAGTTGCAAAAGCTGTTCGTAAACACCTATTATTACAGCTAATCACACCGACTATTATTTTTTCATCTAGCTTTCAGAGGTCGCAACTTAATTCCTTAATTTTTCCATATTTTGAAACATTTTTAAGTGCTATTTCCGATACTACAAAATAATTACTTTTGCTTACGACCCAAAAATACTTAAAATTCTGTAATGAACGAACTCAGATAGGGACAACCAATTTATCTTTTGTTTCAAAATTACAGAATATCTTGCTAACATATGAGAACCATACATTAAATCCTTCATTTACAAATCTTCCAAGAATTGTCCTTTATATTCTGTATTATTCTTTCAATTCATGATTCCTTTCTATTTCCCGTTCTGTTTTCTTCAACCCGACCTTCACAAACCTCTGTTACCATGCATTACACTTCTGATTGGTGTTATATATTACTAATATCTGTCGACATAAACAGTATACACCACAATTCAACTAAACTCTCAAAAATAATAATTTCGTAGTCAAACTTAATAAGACAGATGATATTTGAGTTCATACATATTTTTGTCAACATTTCTTTAACAGAATGAGTTTTGTGGAGATTTTAGGAAATTTCACAGGTTGAAATCATGAGTCAGTTGAAGCTAGACCACCATTGAAAACCTGGAAGCACTGTGAAATTTCCTAAAGTCTCCACAAAACTCATTCTGATAATAGTCAACTGCTCACTAGTGACTGACTGGATTGGTTGAAGTTAGACATTAACACCATAGGATGCCGGCTCAGTGGTCTAATGGTTAAGTGCTCGCGCGCGAAGCCAGTAGGTCCTGGGTCCGAATCCCGCGGGAGGCGGGTTCGTGGATACGCACTGCTGAGGAGTCCTATACCAGGACGAAACGGCTGTCCGGTGCTTCTAGGTTTTCAATGGTGATCTAGGTTCAACTGACTCATGATTTCAACCTGTGAAACATTTATTTAAGCCCAATTTTTTGTATTACAACATGATACAGCCGTGATATATTGCAATTAATCAATAAGTATATTTTCATCTTAAAAGAAAGCTATAGTTATGGTTACGTAAGGAGTAATTAAATTTCATAACTAATCGATTGATATACAGGCGTTTCACACTGAAATTCATTCCACTGACTAATTGTTGTAAAGATTATATTATAAATGATTTGTTTAATAATTTACAACACATTACACTCACTATAATAAATTTCTATCCGTATCTTCATAAAACGGTTTCATTAAAAAATAATTATACTTGAATTCACTATTGAAAAACTCAGTTATTTAATGTTTAAAATATTATAACTTGATGTAATAGAATTTTGTTATTCTTCAACAACCTTTTGTAAAAAATTAAATGTTCCAATGAGTTGTATATACTCTATGTTGAACAGATTGTTCAATGTCATATTTCATTTATCAGAAAGGGTTTTGTGGAGATTTTTAGAAATTTCAATAGTTGAAATCATGAGCCGATTGAAGCTAGACTACCATGGAAAACCTGCAAGTACTAGACGGCAGTTTCGTCCTAGTATGGGACTCCTCATCAGTGCGTATCTACGATCCCGCCTCCTGCGATAT